GCCTGCCAGCAAACTTGTTTAGACTGGCTACACGTCACTCTGAATTGTCTGCCTTACTTTACACTGTTCAGACGACTCCCCCAGCTACAAATACCTGACTTACGGAATACATGCACACATAAGCTTCATATTAGCTTTACTTAGAAGGGAACAGAAAGAAACACTGCCTGCTCCTATCTCTAATCCACGGGCTGTGGGGACTGAGACAGAGGGTTCCTCCTCCCTCTCCTAGGAGCTGAGCCCCGACTGCAGACTGAAATACACAGAGAAACCACTGTTGGTGACATCAGCAAGAACTTGCCTCCCTCAGTGGCTCCAGTGTGACCCAGCCTTTGGGGGGGAGGGGGCAGGGCAGCAGTGGGACACAGGCCTTGGGCAAAGGGGGCTGAATGAAGGGGCCAAGAGATCACTGATGAAAACCGCAGGCCTCCCCATCCTCTTGTAAGAGCAAGTTCCCTTGAGCAGGGGGAGTCCAAGTAAGTGTACTGTGCCTTCGCATTCGTGTTGTCTGGGAAGCCCCAGGTCAGGGCCTGGGGCTCAGAGCTGCAACCTGCTGCACCAGGACTGATGCTGGGAACACAACCAGCTGGGGGTGGAACGCCTCCCCAGGTTCGGACTATCCTACTCTGCTGTTAAGCTCCTAATTTTTAAAAAAAATTTGAAGTATAGTTCATTTACATTGTTGTGTTAGTTCCTGGTGTACAGCATAGTGATTCAGTTATATATATATATATTCTTTCTCATTGTAGGTTCTTACAAGCTACTGAATATAGTTCCCTGTGTTATACAGTAGGACTTTGTTGTTTAACTATTTTATAAACAGGTGTTTGTATCTGCTAATCCTGAACTAATTTATCCCTCCCCTTCTTTGCCCTCTGGTAACCATAAGTTTGTTTTCTATGTCTGTGAGTCTGTTTCTATTTCGTAAATAAGTTCATTTGTGTCATATTTTAGATTCCACATATAAATGCTATCATATGGTATTTGTCTTTCTCTGTCTGACTTACTTCGCTTGGTATGATAATATCTAGGTCCACCCCTTGTGGCCAGGATGGGGGTTCTCCCCTCCAGAACTTCGCATGTCTGTAGCCCCATAAAGATTTATTGGCTGTTTACCTGCAGGGCTCTGAAACACCATGGGGTCCACAAAGAAATCATCTAAGAAACCCAGACACTCTCCATGACTTTGAGAGACAGTGCATATTTGGAACTCATCACTTTTTATTGCCAGTCAACTTATGGTTTAATTTTTTCCGTCTAGGTACACTAACCATTTCCAAGATGCTTTCATGAAGATAATCATATCACTAACCATCCATTTGCTGCAAATACTTAAAAAAAAAAAACCCAGCAGAGAAGTGAGTTCACTCTCAGAGGAAGACAAGGAGGGTCTCCTTTCCGAACAAACAACTCAAGTTGATGACTACTACTTCTCTGAATCCAAGTTAGATTAAAACCTAGTGAATTTATCTGACCTCAAAAACAAGATTTTTAAAAAAGTTCTGTTCCTCAAATAAGATCAATATGATAAACGCAAATAATTTTCTGGTTTTTTTTTTTACCTAAATGGTCTATATTTTGTAACCTCTTTTAAGTATCCATGTTGTTGATTTGGTTTTATTTTTAGAATTATCAAATACCATGGATATTTTCCAATAACAAAAAGATATCTTGGAGAAGCTGACTTATGAACTAGGTTCCCACGTCTCCACTCTGGCCATTGTATAAAGCTTGTGCTGGTTCAGTCTCAAAAAAAGGAAAAAAGGTATCTTAAGAGGTATTCACCAAGAAATGAACCTCACCCTCATTCATGCCATGCTAACTTGATTCAGGCAGAACACTGACAAGCACAAGAGTACTATCATTAAAAATTTTTTTTTAAATTAGGAACAATCATGAACTTACAACAACTGGGGTATAAGACAAAGCATTTTTTCCTGACCTAGGTGATAGTGAGTTGCTGACCTGATGCTCCATCACCTCTGAATACATTCGCGTGTATTTTCCATGAATGAGCACTTTCTCATACATAACCGTAATACAACCATCAAAGCAGGAAACGAGCACTGATGCGCTATTGCCATCCAACCATCAGACCCATTCAAGTTTCCCACAGTCCCCGTGAAGTCCGTAACAGGGAGTCACCCCTGGCATTCAGTCTGCCTGCCTCCTTAGTCTGGACCTTCAGTCTGGACCAGCTCCTTAGCCTCTTCTGGACACTCATGACCTTCTCACAGTTGAAGAGCAAGGGCCAGGTGACTTATAGAACGCCCCTCAGCTTGCCTGTGTCTGATTAGCTTCAGGTTATGCGTCTCTGGCAGGATAGCACAGATGTAACTGCATCCCATCAGGCGTACTTAACTTCGATTTGCCCCACTACTGGTGATGTTCATTTTGATCACTGGATTAAGAGTGTGTCTGTCAGGCTTCTCAGATAAAGCCTGTTCCTCTCTGTAATTAGTAAGTATTTTGTGGGGAGCTACTTTGAAACTATGTGAAAAATCTGCTCTTTATCAGCTTTCAATGTATTCATTTATTTTTTGTATCAGTGAGAACCCATGCTCTCCCATTTCATTCAATGGTCTATAATCCATTACTATAATTTATTTTGATGCACAAACTGTCCCTGTTGTGGCCAGGGGAAGCCCACTCAGGCTGGCTGCTGTGTCCTTGGCAGATCCTTGTCATTCTTCGACTATTTCCTTGCTTTCTGGCACAAGAAGATCTACTTTCTTGTTCCGGCTCTGGAATCCGACATTTCTCCCCAAGAGCCCTAGTTCCTTTCAGTGGAGAAATGGCATTTAGAAGCCAAGATCTGGGTGCCAGGTGTGCTCAGAGCTAAGAAATGTATGTGTATGTGGGTGTGCATGAGTATGCACATAAACATGTCATACATATGCTACACGGACACATACGTATAACAAAATTTATTCCTGTATCTACCTATATACATACTGAAAACCATGCACTTAACCAACACCTCTTATTTCAAGTTTCATTCTAATTTTATCCCTTTTCATATTGTAACTCCCTCCTCCAACAGTAAGAACCTTGGCTTCCATTATCTTTAACACATTTACTTACTTGATCAATCTGCCTGTACGTAACCAAACTGCCATCTTGGCTGTCCTGCCCTTCTCCCCTGCTGAGGCTCTGACTCCCCGTGCTGGGTCGCCTGGGGAGTTATTACTGTTTTACAACAAGAGTACTACAAAAACCTATCAATCTTTGACTTTTGTATAACTCTCAGCAAATTCTTGTTTCATAGCTACTCTTAATTTTTAAATAGTGTATAAAAGGAAGTATAAATACTTCCTAATTTATAACCACTCCTCCATAAGGTTCCCTCGTCTGTGTCTATGGAATAAAATAAATCTCTAATGATGACTGAATACCTACTATGTGCCAGAGACTATGTATGACACACCCTGTCATAATGGATGCTCATAAGAACCCTATGTGGTGGGCACTGTCATTCTCCCCATTTTACAGATGAGGAAAGTGAGGCCCAGGGGCACTTAGTGAGTTAACTGGCCTAAAATCACACAGAGGGATTCAAACCTAAGCAGTCTGAGTCCTGAGTCCCCCCAGCTCTCTGCCTTTCCAATGAATACTTCAGATGAGATGTACAAATAGTACCTGCTCATGGGTGAGTAGTAAAGGCTGGTGGGCATTCTCTTTATTACAGTGCTGTTTAGACTAAAGAAAACCTGGAAATCATCTGAATGCCCAGCAGTGAGGAACTGGTTAAATAAGGAGTGAAGAGTCCACAAAATACAGCATTCACTAAAATTATTGAAGAATTTAAGAGAAATATTAAATTAATAAAACTGACAAAATTTGAGAAACATGAGGAATTGTCCACATTTATAATGCGGAAGCAGCCTAGGTATTCCAGAACGTCCTCTAAATCTGTCACTTCCCTGCTGACAAATCCCTTCTTTGTTACAAAGCCTGGCGTTACTACCCTGTAGGGCCAGGAATTTTTACTATTTTCGAGTTCCAAGCACAAAAACATTAAATAAAAGCAAAGTAATCTTACCAAAGTTTCTTTTATTGCAATTCTCATCACTTTTTCCATCTCATTTATTTCCAGAGGTCTGGCAATTGCTTCTGTTCTCAGTTTCTACGGGAAACAATGAAATGAAATGATGTATTTTTTCAGAAGAGGAATCTCAGGACCAGTTCCCAGATCTAGATATGGCTTATGGACTGGTTCTCAGTGGGTCTCTCATGCAAAGACATTTCTGCCATCACCCACCCCCCTCCAAGTGTCTTCTGTATTCTCAGTATTCTCATCAGTGTAAGGAAGATAAATATTTTTCTCATGTGAGGTTGTGAGGAGGAAATATGCCCATCTGACCGGGGCTAACTCACAATTAATATTTTATAAGTTTTGAACACTTGTTAAGAGATTAATGGCATCTATTCTTTTTATTTTTTAATTTTTTTAAAACAGAAATACTGGGGATTGAACCCAGGTCCTCATGCATGCTAAGCATGCACTCTACCATTCAGCTGTGGGCAACTAAACTCACTATCCATAATCCTTTCTCCTAAATTTGCTTCTTCATCTGCATTCCATTCAGGTAACCCCAAACCAAGTGCAGCTCACCTTGCTGTCTGGCCCCCTGCCAGCCTCCAGAACCTTCTTTATGACACGCCCCTCCAAGTTTCCCATCACTGACAACCGTACCTGGTGAGATCTTGGCTGTGCCCTTAGCACGAACCACTAATCATCAAGGGAGGCATCTGTGCCTATCGCGTCAGTACTGGAAACTTGTGAGACAGGGGAGTTTAACGTGGACGCAGTTACGAGGTTCCTGAAGCACTTTACCAAACTCTGTCTTATGCTTCCTTATTCCACAGTGCACCTCAGCTTCCCCACTGGTGGGAAGCTGCTGAGGGCAGGGACCACGACCCACTCAAGGATAGAGCACGGTGCCTTCCTTGCCTGTGGCTGGTGTCAGTCCTCAATGAATGTTTGTTGAGATGGGGATCCTCCTCAGATCAAGACCATATACAGAATCTGAGAAGTACTACATTCAGGGTCTCATGGCTTCCATAGAAACAGTTCAGCTGCTAACTGATTCATCAGTTCATCACAGGACGGTGCTCCAAGGGCCCCCGGGGGACCCTGGTGAGTTCACCAAGTCTCACAATGAAGCTGCAGCTCTGCTGGCAAACAGCAGGCAACTGGCTCTTGTCTCTGGGTCTGTGATGAACACCTGGAGAAACGTTCACTATGGCACTACAAACAGAAAACACGGCCGGCCCAGAGCTGCCTCACTGCTTATCTAAATTAGCTCTTAGGCAGCAATGGCAGTTTTGTTCTGCCAACTACACTTCACCAGGTGGCAACCACTCGGTCAATATATCAAAAGCAGGGACGGTGAGCTGGCACCCAGGTCCCCAGCTTCCGGCCAGCTCCTGGGGCAGAAATGAAAAGTGGGAGGAAAAACACCATGACACTGTATCAGCAATGCCAGAATATAGGCAAGGCCGTGAAAGAATAGTCAGGGATGATACATCTGATGGGAATGGAATGAATTGAATGCATTTAACTCAAAAACATTAGATGTGAGCATAAATGCCATAAATCCCTACAGGCAGAATTAAACAATACTCCATCTCTTCTTCAACTAGTAGGTCCCAAACTGCTGCACATTGGAATCACCTGGAGATCTTTAAAAATCTGGCTCTAACTACTAGACATTTCGATTCTCCGTCATGTAGAGGGGGTGCAACTGGGACATCAGGTGATTTAAAAGCTCTTTGGAGCTCTGAGTTTTAGGAACCTAATCTTCAACAGCTCCTTAAACACAGGGGATAGAGCATACTCCTTGACTAGCATTGGCTGGAATAAGGATTGCAAATAAATTTCAACTGTAACATCAACTTCAACTGATTACTAGGGGCCGCCTAGATTAATTACTGGTTCCCAGCTCTGCTATATGTTAGAATCACCCAGGAGACTCAAAACTCCCGAAACCCAAGTCACATTCTATGCCAATGACACCAGAATGGAAGCCAGGCATCAGGAGTTTGTAAAGATCCCCAGGTGACTCCGCTGGGCAACACGATTTGGGAACCACAGGCTCAGAAGAGCATGTTGCTGGGCAGGGTGCTGAGACTGAGGAAACACATCATGATCAATAAAGCCTGTCACGGGCACAAGGAGGAACGTTCTAGCAACAGGCACTTATTTGCCATTTCTGAACCAGATGCCAAAGGTACCAGAAACAGACCAGTGCCCACCAGAAGCAGGAACAGCAGCAAACACTGTATGTATGTTACTTTCCCACACAGTATCTCAGTTAATCAGGTATAGTTGAATAAAATCAGAAAACAGGGAAAAACAGAATTGGAAAAAAAACCGTAGAAATCTGCTTAGTTAAGGAGGTGACTGAATTATCTGAACACTGCTTACCCTCAACTCCACCTCCTTGCCCAGCAAGTCATACAGATATGCTCCTTTGGAAGTGATTTCTGAAGCAAGCTGCCTGGCTGCTTTCAAATCTGCAATCTGGAAAGAAAAAATCAAAACCAAATTCTAGTAACAGGTTTTTAATAGGCATTCAGAAAGAACCAACCTGTTCGTACCCATTCCCACCTTCAGTTGGGATACTTGACTTACGTGACTACAGAGCACGTTTTCCAGAAGACACATGTTCACATCCTGCAGAAGAGAGCTCCCAAGACACCAGTCTAGGGATCACTGATCTAAGTACAAATTAGGCTGATTCCAGGCCACCTGGGTCTCTCTGAAAACCCGAATGTCAGGTCAATTGTCCTCTGCAACCAGGAGATGTAGTGGGGTAAAGGCTGACACACTTCCTATTTGGACTAGGTCACAATAAGGGACCCCAGCAGCTGCGGGGTAACCAAAGGAGGGGCAACCCCAGGGACACATTCCTATCATGGAATCCTGATGCTCCATGTTAAATCCTCCCTGTTCCCTCATCCTCTGCCTTTAGACTGACTTCACAGGGCTGCGTGAGGCTCAGATGAGTTCACACGCATGAAGGCCTTACAACAGCACCCGGCTCCCACAAGGTCCTGCTGTGAAGGTGACAGCGATGATGGATTAGCCTCCAGCCCTCTGCACAAGCTTCTTTCTTGGGATTTGCATATCACCCTCTCTTTCTGGAAGATGCTCAATTTCCAAAGAGCACAAACATTTCTCAGCTCTGCCCACTCTCTCTCTCCCCTCAACAATGAATTCCCACCTCCCCTCTTTCATTTTCAAACCACAAGCGACAACTCTCCCTGTCCATTCACAACTGACGACTTTCTTCCCATTTCATTGGTCCTCCAGGATTCTGCTCCGATAGTCCAGCTCCTGGACTAACAGCAGTGAATTTCCAATTTTCCTTCACACTTCTTTTCACACTTCTTCACACAGTTTTCTTTCACACTCCCTCCTAAGCTCTCAGCTTTATGTTGAGATATGCTCCCTCTTATACCCAATTTGGTTAGAGTTTTTATCACAAATGGGTGTTGAGTTTAATCAAATGCTTTTTCTACATCTATTGAGACGATCATGTGATTTTTGTCCTTTCTTTTGTTGATGTGGTGTATTACACTGATTGATTTGCATATGTTGAACTATCTTTGTTTCCCTGGGATGAACCCAATTTGACCCTATGGTACATAATCTTTTTTATGTGTTGTTGGATTCTGTTTGCTAATATTTTGTTGAGGATTTCTGCATCCATGTTCATCAATAATACTGGCCCACAGTTTTCTTATTTGGTAGTGTTTTTGCCTGGCTTTGGTATCAGGGTGATCGTTGCTTCATAGAATGAGTTTGAGAGCATTCCCTCCTCTTCAATCTTTCGGAAGAGTTTGAGAAGCTCTCAGCTTTCATTTTTAAGTTATTTTTAATTGCAGTTTTATTTATTTATTTATTTTGGTGGGAGGAAGTAATTAGATTTATTTATTTTTAGAGGAGGTACTGGGGATTGAATCCAGGACCTCGTGCATGCTAAGCATGCAGTCTACTGCTTGAGCTATGCCTTTCCCCTGAGAAGCTCTCAGCTTTAATACCGAGATTAAAGCTCTGAGCTAAAGGTCAACGTCTCCACTTGGATATCTCATGGACATTGCAAATTTAACATGCCCCAAAGCGAACCCCTCATCTTTCCTGACAACCCTATTCCTTCCACACTCTTCTCCATTTCAGTAAATGGCAACTTCATCCCTGCAGGTACTCAGACCAAAAACCTTGGAGCTATGATATCGAATACTATCCACTAGTCACATATAGGCATCTTCAGTGTTAAACTGTTTACCATTATATAGAATGTAAACCTCAGTTCCTTGGTCATGCTGGCAACACGTGGCTAGTGGCTACTGTATGGCATAGCATACGTGCAAACACACCCACGGTCACAGGGAGTGCCGCTGCACAGAGCTGCTTCAGGATCCTCCTTGGGCTGCCTGTTTTCTTTCAACCTACATCCAATCCCATTAGATCTACCTTCAAAATGCATCCTAACCTCTGGTTACTTCCTTCCACTGAGGAGTCTGGCTCCTGTGTATGATTTTTGAGGCCTGACCTCAATTACAGCAATTACAGTCAATTACAGCAACTTTACCTGGCAGGCCACATGGGGAATGCCGACCCCAACACCAGTGCCCTGCAGTCTCTGAAGACAGTTGCAGTCAAGGACTCAGGCCCTCTGGCCAGGCATATCCTGATAAAGAGCTGCATTCCCAGCCCTGCATTCCTCATTCCCAGGTCTCTTTATCTGAGGTGTGGACCCCAGTCTTCTTCAGTGCCTCTGCTGAGGCCACCTTATGGGGAAGGTGGGGAGAAAACTAAGGCCACTTTTCCCACTGACTCAGTACCTACTTTTCCACTCCCAGCCCTCCCACACCTCTGGGTGCATTAAAGCTGCCAAAGTAATCGTGTGAAACAGGGAGTTGATACTTCCTCTGGTTTTAGCCCCTGGCTTATACCACCGCAGTTAAAGACAGTTCTCATTTTTGGCTTGTTGCTTTGAGTCCTCAGACACTGGCAGCTCATCCTCTCTCCCTAAGCTCAGCTGAGCACTCGACCTGTGCTCCACTCAAAGTCACCATTGTCTCTTGCTGGCTTTTTAAATTTTTTTTTGGCAGGGGGAGTAATCAGGTTTATTTATTGAATTTTGTTTTTAAATGGGGATACTGGGGATTGAACCCAGGACCTCATGCATGCTAAGCACACGCTCTACCACTGAGCTATACCCTCCCCCATCTCTTGCTTTCTAACACTTCCGCCTCTGCTTTCCCCTTCAGTCTGATCTTAACCCAGCAACCAGAGTGATTCCTCTAATGTAAAGTTTCTAGTCATGCCCTTCTCTCTTCAAAACTCAACGATTTTCCACCTCAGGTAAGAAAGTCTTCTGGGGGAAGAGTAGAGCTCAGTGGTAAGTGCATGCTTAGCATGAACGAGGTCCTGGGTTCAATCCCCAGTGCCTCTATTAAATAAACAAACCAAATTACCCCCTACCCCTACAAAAAAACCCAAAAACCAAAAAGTCAGTTTTAAAGGACCCAGGGACCACAGGGTCTATCACTGCCTCCCCTCCCAACTCTGACCACATGGCTCCCTTGCATTTCCTCAAACACACACAGTCCACCTTCCACTGAATGGCCTGCTCTTTTCCTCCTTCAGATCTCTGCTGAAGATGTCACCCAATCCTCAGGGTGAGGACTGTCACCCTGAGGCTGACCCAGCTCCCTACGTGGGATGCCACCTCCATGCCCTGCAGCCCTCCCCCACTTTGCTATCCTGCACACACTCAGCACGTCTGACCCGCTGCTCCTTCTGCTTTGGGGTTTATGGCCTGACTCCACAAGCTGAGCCGTGGGTACAGAGGATTCCTATCCTTGCCGTTCACGCCTGTATCCCTGGTGCTGGAACGGTGCCTGGCAGACAGCAGGCTTTCAATAAATAGTTGCATGTATCGTCCCTTCTGTTTTTATCCAAAAGCAGATGAGCACAAACCTCGGGCCTCGGTCAAGCAGTGAGGAAAGAAGGGGCGCTGTACCTGACGGGCTCCGTTTCACAGTTTGAGAAATAAACATCCCATCCCTCACGGCAAGCCTTCCTTGCCCTTACCTTTGAGCTAATATCAAACTTGAACTTGCTGGTATCTTCCTCTCCTGTCTTAGAGCCCTCCATCCCTTTGGTCATCATAGCGTTGTACAGGACAGACGTGATCTTCAACAGCTCTTTCACTGCGTGCCCATCTGCTTGATAAAGCTTCTTAGTATTGAGTTTTATATGTGCCTTGGTGGCCTATTTTCAGACCAAAAAAAAGAAGTTTAAGATCTTTTCCATGTAAAATCTAAACCAAATCCCATGTAGGTCATTTGAAACTGTCTCTGCCAACATGATTCACTTTTATTTGTGTATTCTTTTTCATATTCTGTTTCACCATAGGCTACTACAAGGTATTGAATACAATCCCTTGTGCTACACAGTAGGACCTTGTTGTCTTCATCTCCTTCTAACATATTTAATTATACAACTCCATCAAATAACTGTGAACTAACCATGAACTGAGCAACTGCCTTAATGAAGAAAACTCGGTCTTGTTCAGTCTCAACATCAGAAGGGATGTCAGTCTGAGGTTCATACCTATTGCAGGGAGAGAGAAGATACGAGTTAATTAAGCAAAAAGTCCACAGTGAGAAAGAACAGGAAGCTGAGTCCCCAGCTAAGGGAGCAGGAGTAAGAAAAGGCTTCAGAAGCAACACAAAATACCAAACATCCGAAAAAACAAATCCTCACCTAATGATAGGCTTAATGGATTTTAAAAATCAAATTTGGGGCCCAGCTTACAACATTAAACCTATCTCGGACTCCAAAGTTTAATTAAAATAATCAGAACTATTACTCCAGCTGCCAGCCCCTGGCCCAGCAGTTGCTGGAGTTCCTTCCTCTGAGTTATTGGTGACACACCAGGGGTCAGCGGGGTCAGCGGACTGAGCCCTTGACCTCTTTCTGTACAGCCTGCAACCTAAGAAGGGTTTTCACATTTTTAAAGGGTTACAAAAAATAAAACACAAGGAAGAATATATGACAGAGATCTTACGTACCCTGCAATGCCTGAAAGACTTGCTATCTCCTTAACAAAAAGTTTGCCAATCCCGAATCAAATTAGATTTTTCATGCAAAATGAAATCTAAATTATTTTCAATCCAGTGTGCTCAATGGAATGTGTGAGGAGGTCCTGTTACTCCCTCATGAAGGTGAGAGGATGAGGAGGAGCCTGGATGAGCCCCAAGTGCCTGCTTCCTACTGAGAATTCTTTAACCGCTGCCTGGTGCACTCCCTCCTCCCACAGCGTTCTTCACACTCAGCTGATTTTTAACAGGTTACAAATGACTCTGTCCAATTTTACTGAACTTTTCTTTTTGCTTCACAAAAGTATCCTGTTTCTAGGCAGCTGATGAATAAAAATCTAGTATTCATTCTTAGACCTCACTAAAGTGCAGTTCTAACCTTTTCACAAGCCAGAGAAGCACTTCAGATACAAGTCCGAAATTTGGTGTGCGGAAATTTTCCATAGAAATATTTCGAGGGTATCCCAAGGCTCGCATCATCTCTGTAAAATCTGTCCAAGGTAAAGCACAATTTAGCCAGTTCTTTGTCAAACAGCAACGACTTATTAACTTAGACACCTTCTTTCTCTTCTTATCCCCAACCTGACACTTTTATGGACTATTTATCAACTCTAAGAAAGAAAGAAAAAAAGAAGATAAAAGTTAAAATACTTAATCTGCTTCCTGAAAAACACTTATTTAAGTTCAACGGGAGAAGTAGAAACTATACATTAAAACGGGGTTTTGGGACTGGCTGTGAATTTAATTTCTCTCTTGGATACCTCATTTATCTCTTGGATATCTTTCTCTTTACCACTTAAAATGAGAACTAGCTGGCTTTATGAAATGTCATAAAGAAAAACATTTTTAAACATTAACTGTGTTTTTTGCGGGGTGACAGTGGTAAGGTGAAGTCCGTGTTCCTGAGTTATTCCTGAGTTGTCCTCTTTTTTTAGGGAGCACACAGGACCTTAGTAACACAAATTTAAGACGTCAGTTGCGCTGTATTTACAGAAATCTTAAAGAGAATGGTTGAACTGTAGAGCAATATTTAGGTTTATTATCAAACAGGCTAGAACAGTAATACTAATACTTGCTGTGGTCACTAAGCTTTAAGCAAGACTTGGAAATAAACACAGTATTTTTTCAGTTCTCACGATGTGCCAAGATCTATATTCAGTGTGCTTCTGGCTATACAACATCCGTCCTCACTCTTCTTGAAGGTAGAGATGCAAAATGTCCCAATGATATTCACAAATAAGCGACCTGGGCAATTGGAGGTTAGACTGGATTTCACCAGACAACACAAGAGAAGAGAAGAGAAGGGCACAGGGAAGAGCAGCAGCATAGGAGGGCCCCATCACTGTTTTGGGGGAAATCTGAATTGAAATGATGGAAAACAAAGCAGCAGCTCTCCCATCACAGAGTCAGGCACCACCTAAACATTTCACCAAGCTAAAGAGTAGTCAAGTTCTGTTAATTCCGCAGTATTATTGTCAAGATGGAGACAATAAGATTCTTACCATAAAATGCACAATTGTAATGGCACTTTAAGGTCAAAATGCTCAGAAATCCCCTTCCTGTACACTCTTCCCAACACAACTCCATTCAACGTCCCCTAGCAGAATGCCAGCCTTCCCAAATTAAGAGGGAGGAGACACTGGTCTCTATGACATAAGGGCACCAAGAACCCCCAAATCCCAGAGGGCATAAACTCACATAACAGTGCTAGTAAGCATCAGTAAAATGTGGTGCCTCTTCCTGTATGTTTACATTGTAAGAAAAGAGCAATTCAAACTGAAAGGAGTAATTTTTAATGGTGAAATTTCAGGCACCAGCAACTCGGTTAGAAAATTGGCCTTAAAGAGGTCCCTCAGATCACCCTCAAATTGGCAATGCCTGCTACACCAATGCAGGTGGGGCCAGTTGGCTGCACTGCTACAAAGTCAGAAAATGATAGTGTACAAAAGGCAAGAGATTGAGTCACAGTCTGATGTTTTGATCCTTGTTTCCACCCAGTTCTAGCTGTGTGACCTGAAGCAAGCTACTTTACCTCTTTGTGCCTCAAAGAATTATACGCTACATCTCACTGTTTAAGTGAAGACTAAAATAAGATACTGATGTAAAATCCCTGCTGTGTAACAGGTGTCCCCCAAAGTAGTAGTAACTAAGTCTCTTATCCCCATTCTTCCACTTCCCCACCCTTCTAGACAAGGCACATAGGTTTCCTTCGCCTCACCAGGTCCTTTAGATAAGGACGCAGACTTTGGAGGTTAGACAAGATGAATTCACACTCCAGCACCAGCTCTTACCACCTGTGTCTGTTTACCGAGTTACCTGACCTCTTTGTGCCCATTTCCTCGTCTGTAAATGCAGGAGCACAGTTGTTAAGAGGAGTAAATGAAATGATGCACGTACATAGGACAGGAAGTACCGAACTAACATCGGAAAATTTTACCTGCAATTATCATTATTCACCAGCCCTCTCCTAGGTTTTGTTGTTCATTTCTCTGAGCTCTAAGCTAACCCAACTCAAAAACGGTCTCTGCGTTTCCCAATACGATCGCGAACAGCCCCATGTGGCTATATAAACCGATTAATGTTAGATAAAATTAAAACTTAGGTTCCTCAGCCGCACTAGCCACTCGTGGCAGATACACAACCTCCCATCATCGCAGAAAATGTTACGAAACAAGGAAGGGCCGGGGCGCTCAGCCTCGGGGTTGGCAGCGCGCCAGGGGCGCCCCTGGGCTGCAGAGGCCCGGGAGGGGGCTCCGGCGCGCGAGCCTCGGCGGAGCCAGGACAGGGGGCGCGCCAGGCCTGAGCCCGAGTCTTGGGAAGACTGCAAGTCACAGAGGGCAGGGCTGCCTTACTGCGGAGGTCGCGGAAAGACATGGCGCTCTGCTCCGGAGAAGCCAACGGTCTCCGCAGCTCGCCACTCAGCGCTCATGAGTCTCTATGGCAACGCGCGGAGCCCGCGACGGCGCGCAGCCGGGGCCAAACAATACGGGCGGCAAAACGGCCGTGCCGTGTGCGCATACTCCATGCGGGCCCGAGAGAGGGCAGCCGGCCGGCAGGGGGCATCCCGCGTTGCCGAGGGAGCGGGCTTTGGGATCCAGCCCCAGCTGACACCTGGGCCCTCTTCACACAATTGGCAAACATCTGGCACTGGCTAACACGGTCTGAGCACCTACTAAGTGCCTGACACTATGCTAGGCGCTCTACATACTGCTTCTCATTTCCTCCTAAACTCCTCTAGAAAGAATGTACGATAATGTCACGAAGCTGAGTCTCCCGCCTGGGTCCTGTGCCCAGCACACTTCTCTCTGGCATGTGTAAAGTAGCTAGCCGCGCCCCCGACCGAAGCCCTGGAGAAGCGCCCGCAGCGCGATGGCGTTGAGACCCCGGACTGCGAGGGACAGGCAATACTAATTGCTGAAGTGGCGAGATGAGGCCCGGCTGCGACCCGCGCATGCGCAGCCAGCCTGGGCTTCACGACAGGCCGGAAACCGGCCCGGTTCTTCGCGCCATCGGTTGTCTGTCCAGCGGCCAGAGTTTGAGGGAGGGTTGAGCGCGCCGGCAGCTCACCAGTGAGGATCGCACCCAACACGTGGTCGGATCAGCTGGCAGCTCACTTGGGAGTCCTCTCCACCGGGATGTCCTAGTGGGGAACAGGCGACAGGTATGGCAAGGGAGCTGAAGTGAGCTGAGCCCAGAAGGGTGGGCGAAGAAGAGGGACTGCTAACCGCTGGGACGCCCTCCACCCCTGCGTTGGTTTTGGCAAAGTAGCAGACACGTAAATACACCCATCTTAACGGAAGTCCCGAAATAGATCACACTTACATGGTTAGTACCACGAAGGTGATAGCCCTTCAGTGGAGAAAGAATAATCTTTCAACAAGTGATGGAACTGAGTTCATAAAAAATTTTCCCAATAATATCTACCCATCTGAGGGCCAGTTCTGCCCGTTTTCCCAGAGCACAAAATGCCTCGTTCTGATTTTCACCGGGAATTCCTTTCAGGGTATGTTGCAGGTCAGTGACGGCAATGGCTAATGACTATTGTTGTAGTACTGGATAGTGGCCAACATTCTATGTTTCATAATCTCCCTTTCAAGTCTTCATTTTGACCAAGGTTTGGAGGCATTTCATGACCAGTTTGTCCACGGTGCTAGGAATGCTTATACCCAGGTCAAGGAAGGATTTCATTGATAGGCCACTCAGCATGCTATTACTGGACTGTTAACAACAGCCAAAAGCCTCTGGACTGACTTTTCTGTTTTACTAGTCTGTCGTAGTCCAGGAAATGGCTCCCTACTGTTGCTTCTTCCCAGATCTAGAGTTACACCATTAAAATCATTGATCTTATAGAACTGTATATTTGATCAATCATTTCAAGTAACCTAGTCAATTATTTTTATCGAAGACTCAGACACACATTCGGTAATACAAGAAACAATAATCTTGTAAAATAGAAGACAAGTAGTAAAGCTAGTATCATTAATATGGCCATCAGGAAGTATTTAATCTACAAACTTCCATTAAGTTCAGCCCAGTATCTCCCCAGGTCATCTGACCTGGTCTGTTCTGCACCATTCATTATCTTTAAGAGAAATGATATATTGGCTTTATACATAAAGTTCACCAAAAATACATGCATCGTGACTCATTATAGGATTGAGAAAGGAATGTTGTCTTCAAAGGAGTTACATGGCTGACATCAGAAGAAGAAAATTTGACCTTTATGGTTGAGCAGGTATTCCTGCTGTTGGGGAGGTCTGGTTAGTGCATAATACAGATGCACAAGGCACACAAGAGGGGAGGGAGGAGGCCCAAATGGGTGGAGAAAAAAATTATGTTTAAATTTTCTTGTCTTGCTTTAAACTATGAATGTTACTTCATTACAAATAATAAGCAAAGGAAGATGCTTAAGATTATTTGTCATCAGAGAAATGCATAGTAAACCACAAGGTATCAGTGGGTAGTTATTTGAATAGCTAAAACAACAGACACACAACAACAAAAACCCTGACAGTTCCAAGGGCTTGAAAGGATGTGGAGCAACGTGGCCTTTCATACATTATTGTTTGAGAATGGGAAGCAGGACAGCCACTTTGGAAAACACTTGGTAGTTTCTTTTGTTTTGTTGTTTTTGTTTTTGGGGGGAGGTAATTAGGTTTATTTATTTACTTTTTTTTTAAATGGAAGTACTGGAGATTGAACCCAGGACCTCTTGCATGCTAAGCATGTGCTTTACCATTGAGCTATACCCTCCCCCGCAACTTGGTAGTTTCTTAATAAACACATTTAACATACAGATCATCAATCCCACTCATCAAATCCCATTTGCCCAAGAGAAATGAAGACTTACATTCACACAAAAACCTGTACACAAATGTTGATAGCAGCTTTGTTTATAATCGCCCCAAACTGGAAACCACTCAAGTGTCCCTCAACTTATGAATGGATAAACACACTGCAGTACATTCACATAATGAATTACCACTCAGCAGCCAAAAAATAAAGAAGAAAAAGAAGCCAACTGCTGAAATACACAAGGACAATGATGACTCTCCAGCGCCTTATGCTAAGTGGAAGAAGCCAGACTCAAAAGGCTTTCTACTGTACATTCCATTTATATGACAATCTGGGTAAGATGGAAATATAAAGACAAAACAAATCAGTGGTTTCCAGGAGCTGGGTGTCAAATAATTTCAGGGTGATGGACCTGTTCTATATCTTAATTGTGGTGGTAATTATACGGCAGTCACTGTTTGTCAAAACTCATACAGCTGTGCACTAAAAGGGGTGAGTTTTGCCATATCTAAAATTGTATCTCAGTGAGCATGACTTAAAAATTAGCCTTAGAAAAACAAAGCAATCCAATGGTTTCCTATTGTAATTCAAATAAAACTCACTCCCTTTAGCTGCACCTCCTCTGCTCCCCTCACTGCCTTCCCTCCATCCATCCTACCCTGCTCTCTGTTGAACAACCCCATCTTCCTGCCTCCTGGCCTTTGCATGTGCAGTTCCCAGGAGCGCTCTTCCCAACTTCAGATCTTTGTGAAGAGGCTTCCCGGACTACCTTCACCAAAGCAGATCCTTCCTGGCCACTCCCTATTACATCACCTTATTTTATTTTCATAGTATGATCTAGAAACATCTCCTTTGCTTATCTTTTGTGTCTCTGATCTGGACATGTAAGTGCCATGAAAATAGATACCTTCTCTGCCCTACTCGACTCTCTCCTCAAGTCTCCAATAGTATTTAGTGCTACATAAGCCCTCAGAACATGTATGTTTAATACCTGAATGAATGAATGAGTGAGCAAGAGTACATCATCCTCACTCCAGTGAGGCAAAGGGTCTTTGAGGAAAGGCCATGTCCCCACTCTCCCCTCATGCTCTGTGCTGACTCTGTCATGCCCAGTTCAGGGCTGGCACAATAGGCCAGTGGAAGTACAGCAGATCTGCTGTAAGTTAGGGCTAACTGGTGTGCATAGGCATCTAGAGCTGTCCCTAAAGCCATGTGACCTTGGGAGGTTAACCTCTTGGTGACTCATATTCTTCAGTGTTACAATGGAGATCGTGATGCCTGACAGGGTGGCTGTGAGGGCTACAGGAGAAGTGATGGGTGTTTGGGGCAGACAGCACTTGACATCCACTGTAGACAGCAGAGCACAGAGGGAGCACCGACAAGGGGGCCAGAGCCCCCCTCCTTGGTTTTAAATTTCTTTCAACTGCTTTATGGACAGAAGATAAAGTGCATATATTTAAAGTGTGCAATTTAACAAATTTTGGCAAGCGTATACATGCAAGAAACCATCCCCACAGTCAAGAGAGAAACACATCCTTCACCTCATTTCCCCGTGCCCAGCCCTTTGTATTATCACCCTCCTGCCATTCCCTGTACCCCAGGCAACCATTCCTCTGCTTTGTGTCATGGTAGACTTGCGTACTTCTAGAGTTTTCTATACATGTTATCGTATAACATATGCTCCTTTTTTTCTGGCTTCTTTTACTCAGCATAATTATTTTGAGACCCATCCATGTTGTAGCCTGTATCAGTAATTCATTCCTTTTTACTGCCGAGTTGTATATCCATCACATGGATAGACTGCAGTTTTATTTACCCATCACTGGTTAATGGACATTTCCAGTTTGGGGCCAGTACAAATAAAGCTGGTACAAATATTCAGCTAGAAATCCTTTTACACACAATATGCTGTCTTATCTCTTCAGTAAATACATAGAATGACACATCAGAGTCATAAAGCAAGTGAATATTTAACTTTTTTCTTTTTCAATCAACTTTTAATTTTTGAATAGTTTTAGATTTTCAAAAAAGCTGCAAAGATAGTACAGAGTTCCTGTAGATTCCATCCACCCTCACACCCCCGTCACTGATGCATTTCTCATAACTGATGAACCAACACCGACACATTATTATTAACTAAAGTCAAAATTTCTTTATTTTTAACTTAATGTCCTTTTTCTGTTCCATGATTTGATTCAGGACACCACACTGCATCTAATTTTCATTTCTCTTTGGGTTCCTCTAGATAGTTTTGTGACAGTTTCTCCAACTTTCCTTGTTTTCGATGACCCTAACAGTTTTGAGTAGTGCTGGTCAGTTACTTATTTTTACTGTGGTAAAATATACATAACATAAAATTTACCTTTTTAAGTGTACAATTCAGTAACACTAAGTACATTTGAAATGTTGTTCAATCACCACGTCTATTTAGCTCCAAAATATTTCAATCACCCCAAAAGGAAACGTCACACCAATTAAGCAGTCACTTCCAAATGGGAGTGACTCCCCTGCCCCCATCCCTGGTAATCACTAATCTGCTTTCTGTCACTATGGATTTATTTATTCTGCCTATTTAATACAAATGGAATCATAAAATATGTGGCATTTTGCATCTGGCTTTTACCACTGAGCATTATGTTCCTGACATTAATCCGTGTTGCCCTGGGTATCAGTACTTCTTTCCTTTTTATGGCTGAATAATATTTCCTTGAATGGACAGACTACAGTTTGTTTATCCATCCATTAGTTGATGGACATTTGGGTTCTTTCCACTCTTTGGTTACTTCTATGAATAATGCTGCTATGAATATTTGTGTATAAGTATTTATTTAAATACCTGTTTTCAGTTCTTTTGGGGTGTATACCTAGGAGTGGAATTGCTAGGTCATATGGTAATTCTATGTTTAACTTGCTGAAAAACTGCCGAACTGTTTTCTATAGTGGCTGTACTATTTTACATTCCCACCAGCAGTGTAGGAGGATTTCAGATTTCTCCACATTCTCATTAACACTTGTCATTTTCTGTTTTTGTTGTTTTTTAGAGCCAACCTCATGGGTGTGAAGTAGTGTCTCATTGTAGCTTAAATTTGCATTTTCCTAATGACTAATGATGTTGAACATCTTTTCATGTGTTTGTTGACCATTTATATACATCTTATATGGAGAACTGTGTATTCAAATTCTTCACCTTTTTTATTTTACTTTATTTTGGGAGGGAGGTAATTAGGTTATTTATTTATTTATTTATTTATTTATTTATTTATTTATTTATTTTTAGAGGAGATACTGGGATTGAACCCAGGAACTTGTGCATGCTAAGCATGCGCTCTACCACTTGAGCTATATCCTTCCCCACCTCTTCACCTATTTTTAAATTGAGTTGTTCGTCTTTCTGTTGAGTTGTAAGAGTTCTTTATATATTCTAGATACTACACTCTAATCACATATACAATTTGCAAATGTTTTCTCTCATTTTGTAGGCTGTCTTTTCTTGATAGCTTCTTTTGCAGCACAAAAGTTTTCAATTTTGAAGAAGTCCAATTTATCTGTTTTTGTTGCTTTTTTCTTTTGTTGTCATATCTAAGAACCCATTGCCAAATCCATCATGATGAAGGCTTACCCCTGTTTTCTTCAGAGTCTTATAGTTTTAGTGTAGTGCTTATATTTAGGTTTTTGTTGCTTTTTGAGTTAATTTTTTGTATATGGTGTGAGGTAGGGGTCTAATGCCATTCTTCATTCTTCATTCGTTATCATCTGGACTTCCAGTTGTTCTCTTCCATTTGCTGAATAGACTATTCCTTCCCCCACTGAACAGTCTTGGCAATCTTGTCAAAAATCAATTGCCCATAGATGTATGGGTTTATTCTCGGCTCTCTACTCTATTCCATCGGTCTAGATGTCTAGCCTTATGCCAGCTCCACACTGTTTTGTTTACTGTAACACTGTATGTAGTAAGTTTTTAAGTCAGGAAATCTGAATCTTCAAACTTTTTCTTTAAGATCATTTTTGGCTTTTGGTCTCCCTTGTAAATCTACATGAATTTTAGGATCAGTTTTCCTGTTTCTGCCTAAAAGGACATTGGGATTTTGATAAGAATTGCATTGAATCTATAGATCACTTTGGGGAGGAATGCTGTCTTAACAATATTAAATACATGAATGAGGATATTTTTCCATTTATTTAAGTCTTATTTTTTTTTCAGCAATACTTTGTAGTCTTCAGTGTTGTCTTGTACCTCCATGGTTAATTTTATGACTGTTTTATTCTTTTTGTTCTGTGCTTGTGTGTAGTAATACAGTTAATTTTTGTGTGTTGATCTTGTATCCTGTGATTCTGCTGAACCTTATTTGCTGATAGTTTTTTTTTTAGCTCAAGTAGTTCTTTTTTGAGTGTGAATTTTTCCTGTCTATAAGATCATGTCATCTGTGAATAAAGACAATTTAAAGTTTAACTTTTTAGAAACTGCTTCTCAAACTGGTGGTACCATCTTACATTCCCTGCAGCAGTACACGAGAGTTCCAGTTCCTCCACATCCTGCTTCACAGTTGGTACCATTCACACAGTATGCCATCATCTACTTATGGGAAAATGGACAGAAAAATTAAATGAGCTGCCCAGTCATCCAGAACCACCTGTCAGCATGCTCAAAGCACTAACCCAGATATAACCAAGTCTGCACCCCTAAGCTTTCATGTCCCACCCATAGATGAGGAAATGGATACCTCAAAAGATCATCCCAGGAAGTGACTTCCCAGCCTGCAAAAGCTGTCTGCCTATCTGAAGCCAGAGGGACCAGGAACCTCCCCTAGGATTCCATCTCCATCCCTTGCCCTCCTCCCACCCTGATCCTGCCCTGGACATCATCCTTTCCCAAACTCAGGGGTCCAGGAAACCCAGGAGTCTTCCCTGTGACATCATAGAGCTGGTTGCCAGGGGAGACTTGCAGACTCAGCCCCTAGGTAGGGAAGAGCAGAGCCCTGCTGCACAGGAGGCCTGGCCACTCCTCCCTACCACACTGGCCCTCCATGGAAGCCTTGGTCTGTGCGTTCTCTGAGCTGCGCATAAGAGAAGGTGCCGGGCTGCGGGGAGGAGTGGCAGGAGCAGAGATGCCCTCCTGTCCTGACCTGGGCCCAAAGCCACACGGGTGGCCTTAGGGACATGCATGCGTGGGAGAGGGGTATGGCCACTGGTCCAGGCTGTGCGACCCTGGGTACCAGAATACTCTTTCTAGGGTAGAGGGCAAAACGGGTTGGCAGAAAGAGCCTGAAGTCCTGAAAGTGATCTTGGTGCCAAGGCTCAAGCTTCTCAGAGCTCCTGTTAGTTGGGAGGGAAGCTATGTGGGGTGGGAGGAGGTGGGAGGTGGTGGGAGGCAATGGGAGGCAAGGGGCTGAGCCCTTCTGACAGACAGGTAAGCTGAAGCTCCGCAGGCGGGGGGTGGAGCCCATCTCACAAGCATGTGACTGCGTTTTCCCCTCATGGCCACTGGCCCACCGGCCACCACCCTCCTGCTCTCCCCTCCACAGATGCAGTGAGCTGGGCCGGAGGACGCCCCAGCCACCCTGACATTCCATCCAACATCTACGAAGGGGGGCTGGGGGCCCAGCAGCAGCAGTGCCCCAGTGCCCAGGGAAGCAAGCCCAAGAACTTTCGGCTGCGCCACCTCCGGGGCCTGGCCCTCTATCTGCCGGGCCACATGCAGCCTGCTGGCCAGTGTGAGAGCCACTGGCTGGGCCGGCTCATGGCCAGGGGCTGCCTCCCACAGCCCAAGGGTGTGGCCTGGCCCCTGGAGCTACCACAGGGGACTGCAGGCCCAGGTAACAGCCACCACTCAGCACTTCTGGAAGCTCAAATGCCCAGGGACAGCCTAGGAAATACAGGTGAGCACCTGTCCAGGTGCTGCAGGGCTGGGGATTGAATGGGAAAACCCAGGGAAGGGTGGGGCAGGGGAATCAGATGGACCTAGGTGGCCCTTCTCCACTCCCAAGCCTCCTGGGTCCCTGTCCCAGCTCCACACTTAATGAAGGATTTTGGACGGCTCTCCCCAACTGGCTGGGCCTCAGTTTCCCCATTTATAAAATCAGGGGTTCAGGTTAGATAAGGGTCCTTCTAGTTTGAACCATGTTTCCCTCTTTCTTCCCTCCTCATGGGTTCTCTTTAAGGAGAACTTCCCCTCCCCTCCTGTTTTGAAGGATGCCAGGTTCTGGGGGTCACAGGGTGGACTGGCAGCCTCCCCTGGGTACCTCTGAGTGACTCTTCTCTCCTCCCTTTCCTCAGCTTCCAGTTCCAGCATGGACCCAGCCAAGGGTGCCCCCTCCCAGTCCTGTCCCCCTGAAGGCTTGGGGCTCAGGCCCAAGAGATCCTGGGGGGCCTCAGAGGAGCCCACCTGTCCTTTGTACAAGAGAACTCGCTTTGGGGCTCTGGAGAGGCCATAGGGATCCGAGTGCCAGGGCTGGTTCTCCCAGCCTGGGACAGGAGGGGAAAGGATGGCCCAGGAGGAGGAGGTGGCAGGTCCAGGAAGGAAGGGCTCAGTCCCTACCAGTGGCACCCCAACGATGAGACACTTGGGCAGCTGCCCAGCACCAGAGCCTGGGCCAGCCTCAGGAAAACTCAAGGGGGAAGGGAGGAGGAAGTCCTGCAGGAGGGACAGAAAAAACAAATCTGGGCATGCTCTTGCAGCCTGCTCCAACTCAAGTCAGCCACTTGTACCTGAGAGGCTGGGTGGAGCAGAGAGTTTGGGCTCCCAAGAGGCCGGGGAGCCTGCAGGTCTAATATCAATAAAAGCCAAGGCCTGCACCTTCTGTCCCTGTGGTCTGTCTGTCATCAGGCAATTCAGCCAGAGAAACTGCCCCTTGGCACCTGTGTTCTGAGAGCAAAGTTCTGTGTTAATCGATCCTGGGGAATCCAGGTGTTCCACCCTGAGTTGAGAAGGGAGCCGTCCTCCTCTGGGTGGGCAGGGTCTCAGCAGGCCTAAAAGCAGGGCTTGGCACTCTGGGCCGAGGGGCAGAGGACAAAGGAAATTAGACTGGGTTTGTGGAGGATGTCAGGGAGGAGGGCAAGTTCCCAACCTGGGCAGAGATGCTGGCCCTGACCCCACGCTGCCCCTCAATGAAGGCTTGGTTGTGTTCACTCTCCCTGGGGCCCCCTGGCTGCCCTGACCCTCCAGGCAGAGTGGGCACAGCCCTTCTCCACCCAGCTGGGTTGGACTCCAGGTACCCTGGCCTGGGCTCCTCTGTACTGGGATGTCTTAACCTCACACAACCTCTTTGTTGTCGGGGGCTGTCCTGTATGCTACAGCATGTTTAGCAGCGTCCCTGGTCTCCTCCCACTGTGGCTACCAGAACTGTCTCCAGATAGTCTGATGTCCCCTGGAGGAAGCAGAATCACTCTGGCTGAGGGCCCCCGCTCTACATCACTGGGCCTCAGCCCTGCAGGGGACAGGATGGGAAGACCTGGGTTTGCCTCAGCGACTCTCCCCACCTGCTGACTTCCTGTCCTGGAAGCCCGAGTCGGGCTGGGGCTGACCTATCCCTCTCACAGGCTTCTGTCAGACCACACGTGATGGTGTCAAGGACACTCTGGAAACCAGGGCAGCTGGGTCCCTTCCAGACCCAGAGAAACGCTCCCTCAGGCCCCGCACTGTTCCCTCCTATAGCAGATTCTGGAGACTTGGGTCCCTGCGTGCTTTTCAGGCTGTTTCAAGTATGGGTGTGGCCCTGGGTGGTGGGAGCTCACAGTCCAGGCCACCAGCCTCAGGACTTGTTCCCTAGGGAGGGCCATCTGGGTGAGACCCAGGCCTCAGGGAGCAGCAAACACGGGCTTGGGAGGAACCAGGCCTGGGCTGGGCTCTCAGGCCCACCATCAGGAGCTGTGTGGCTCATGGGCAACTCCCAGCCCCTGACCCAGTTTTCCTCCTTTGTCTAACGGGGTGACAAGCATGACCCCCTGCCCCCGGGGTGGCCAGAGGCTCAAAGAAGAGGTTGGTGGAAGCACCAGCCAGGTGTTGGGATGAGCTGGCACCCTGCCTCAGGCTCCTGTGGTGGGCTGCGCTGGCCCAGGGTCTCTGCCTGACTGTTGAATCACCAGCTCTAGGACCTCTCCCCAGGGACCGCATTCTTTGGCAGAGTAAATTACAATCATGATTGTAAAAAACAATTGCCCTTTGAGCTGCAAGCCATCGTTGGGACTTGCTAGGGGACAAGCAGTTCCTAGGCTGCCCTCAGCCACAGGGCAGATCCACAGGGGCAGGGCCAAAGTGCAGCGAGCCTGGGAAGACAGGATGTGACCAATTAGTCTATTTATTTGCACTGAGACAAAACACTATAATCCCGTTCAACACTGGGCTGGACACTGCAGTGACTGGCGCGGGGTGGGGGGGCAGGGCAGGACAAGGCCTCTGAGCTCAATTATGAATGTCCAAGGCAGAACCTTCTGGAAGACTCTTCCCTTACCCAAGGAGCAGAAATAAAAATCACATGATCATCGTGGATTCAGATTAGAGAGGACATGGAGCTGGGCCTCAGCGTGAAGTCAATGTCAGCGCAGAGGTGGGAACACCCAGCCAAGGGAGGAGGAGGGCCTCTCATGCCCGGATCACCTTCATCTCGAGAAGCCCTTTCCCACCACGAGGACATAGGAGCCCCAGGCTGGGAAGTTCTGAGGGGAGGAAGGACACCAGTCACGGAACCCCCGCCCGGGGTGTTCGTCTCCTCCTGCCCTTGGGCCAGTGCTCCCTGGCAATGGCTCCAATAGGCCACAGTAGCTCTGCACCACCCCCTCTGCTCTGGAGGTCAGGGCAGGTGGCAGGCAGCTCGGAAGGGACGCCAGGAGCACACACCGTCCACACGCACACTTCCTGGCATAAACAGCCTCTCCGGTCTCTGCCCCAGAGGCGGAGGGACCACAAGGCACATGACTGCCCCAGCCTCAACAGCTGGGTTTCACTTGATCAAGGCCGGCTCAGCTTCCTCTGGTCCGCATCTGCCCAGGCCTCTGCGCTACAGCCCAGGGGGCTGGGGGCCTGGGGGCCTGGGGGACAGGACGCCCAGGACCCTTGGCGGCGCCTGTCCTCAGCCTGGTCCCCTGCGGTAGCTCAGCTGAACGGTGCATCCACCAGACGACTGGCGGTTCTGCTTGCTCTAGACAGTGAACCGGCCTGCAAGCCTCAGCCTCCCAGCGGCGGTGTGGAGAACAGTCCCGTTGTCCGACCACCTGAGTCAGGAGCAAAGCCCCAGAGCTGTGTGTGGGAGACAAGCCTCCCGTGCTGTGCCCACCAAGCACCAGCCCCTGGTGGGGAGGCAGGGGCTGCGCTCTGCGCCCCAGGCTTCTGTGCGCTGGGTCTGCACGGGAGTCTGGCGCTCCCTTTAATTCGCCCCTGCATTGTTCTGACGCTCCTGTGTCTTTAGGGTGAAGTCTGTCCACGACACGTGGGTTCTTCCCTCCCAGAAGTTCGTTCCCACTTTGGAGAAAGGAGCTGGAAGGAACAGGCAGTGGAGGGTAAGAGGCCAGTGAGGGGTGTGGGGAAGCAGGGAGGGAAGCCCTTTTGGGTGCCCTCGCTCCCAGGGCAGCAGAGGAGACAGACCACAGAGCACATGCCACACCCCAGCGGCCCCAGAGGCTGGTGCGCGGGGCAGGACCAGCGCTCGGAGGAAGCGCAGGTTTCCACACAGGAAGGAGGGCTGGGAGAGCCTGCGGGAGAGACAAGAGGGGAGTAGGGGTGAAGGCCTCCATGGGAATGCTCTTCCTCACCCTGCCAGTCCAGCTGAGGAGCCTGCAGCTGGGCTCCAGGTGCTTCTGGAGCGCAAGCCCGTGTCCAGTGACCACCAGCCTCCATGGTCTCAGCACAGACCCCGGCACTGATGGGGGCACCGGCCCAGGAGGCCACAAAGCCCTGCTGAAGGCTTGGTACGCCTAACGATCTGCTAGGCTGTGTCCATAAACAGGGGGCGGACCCCGGAGTCCCCACGACCCCTCCCATCTCTGCAGTCCCCAGAGGTCTGAGACCAGCTCCCTGCTGTGCACACGGGCGCTCAGAAGTGGTCACGTCTGAGCAGGGCCCTTAGTAACCAGGTGCTGCCACAGGGCAAGGCCACCCAGCTTCAGTCTGAATGACGATGGCATAGGTGCTGACGCCGACGCATACGGTGAGGCACCGCCCAGGACACAGCAGCACAGATGCCCCCTCGAAAGGGGAAGCTGAGTGTCTAGGGGCGGAGGTAGAAGGGGCTTGATCTTTTGGTACCTTTTCAGTTTTCAAACCACGGGAATGCATTATTTGTTAAGAAGTAGTTCAGGAAGTGAAAAAATGAAGTTCTGACCGGGTCTCAAGGACTCTGCTTTCCCTCTGGAAGTTTCTGAGAGTTGGTCAGGAACCATCTGAGCCCTGGGCCCTGCTGCCCAACATCCCTCAGCAGCAACTGCCTATCCAGGGGCTCCTATTTTTATTGCTGAAAGCAATAAAATTTCTTGGTACTATCACCCGACTCTGCTCTGCTCCCATTTCCCACCACCTGCTCTGCTGTACCTGTCGGAGACCGGGCACGCCCCGAGAAGCTCTGCTCCCGAGCCCACGTAGCACCAGGCCTGCAGGTGGGGCTCCTCTGCAGAGGACAGTGGAAGTCAGATGGCCAGGAGGGCAGTTTCCACAGGGCACAAAGGGTTGGGGCCTGGTGGAGGCTGCCCGGCTGGCGTCACATGGTCCGGCTGTACTCGATGCCGCCCTTGGTGGTGATGCTGGACCATGGCAGGAAGCTGCAGAGCAGACTGTGGGCCTGGCGGTAGATCCTGTGCGGGATGGAGCAGGGGCTCAGGTTTGCTAGTGCAGAGCCCAGGTGCTGGATGTAGTCCGTGAGGCTCCGTTAAGGAAGACTGACTGGCTTCCCTGCCCCACCCCTCAGGGCAGCACTGTCTGCAGGGCCACGTGGAGACTGTGGGCTGTTGCAGACAGCACACCGTTCTCATAGGAGGCCAAGGGCCTGCTCAGCCTCTGCAGGGCTGGCAAGTCTCATTTGACGGAGGGGCCTCCACTGTGCAAAATAATGCAGAGCAGAGCCTGGATACAAGAGGACCTTCTGGGTGAGGCCTCAGGCACATGGACAGGACTGGGTGCTGGGGGAGGAGCTTGGCAGAGCAAGTGTTCCTGGTTCTCCCCATACACTCAGTTCTCAGAGTGACAGAGCCCTGTCCCTGTGATGAGCAGGAGTCAACAGTCCTGACTCCTTGGACCTCCACAGAGACCTATCTTCACGTGAGTGAGGCCTGCAGGTTTGGGGCCACCCTCCTCATTCCCGGATAAATCCTAGACTCATCCATTTAATTTCTCTCTCCCACATACACAGTGTTTTGGGGCCACACCCTATGACTACTAGGAAGTCTCCTGGCCCCACCCTACCTGTCAAGGGCTAGAGAGACTTAGAGAGGAGGGAGCAGGGCAGGGGCACACCTCTGGGTTACACACCTGGTAAAGAAGGTTTAAATCCAGGTGTTCAAAAACAGCAAACAATTCTCCTCACCTCACATCCTTGTCTTCCCGCCTGCCAGCACACAGCCTCATGAGAACAGGGGCTTTTGTCTTTCCTGTTCACTGCTGTGTCCTCCCAGATGGATGGATTCTGGACTAGGAGGTTTAAAACCCTCCCTTCATACCAGGCTGAAGTCCAGGGAGACCCGAGTGCCCGAAGTGTGTCTTCTTTCCCAATGTCTGCACCCAGGCTACCATTTCCCAAGACGTGCTGGCCAGGTTTCCCCACCACACCACCTGGTACCGTGAGCTTGGCCTTGCCAATGCCATCTGAAGGCAACCATGGCTCCAGCTGGCACACGGGCCCTGCTAGGAAGCCACAATCCCTCACCCCTGACAAAGAAAGGATATAGGATGGTCCAGGGAGGGTGTCCGCCATTGATGTAGAGGACGTAAGTGAAGCCATCTTTGAGGACCCCTCGTATGGAGTAGTAATAGGGGAGATAATGATGCTGCTTAAAGTCTCTGTTTTCGTAGAAATTTATTGCTGTGTTGTTAGTAGTGAGGACGTGCAGGTAGATGGCTTTGCAGTGGTCCTGGGCGGTGGTTGATATGTGATCCTTTAAACTCTCAAGTAATAGGGAACCTACAGGGAAGAGGAGCAGGGCAGGCGGGAAGGAAGTGTGAGGCAGACAAGGAAGTGATTTTGCACAGATCTCTCTGCACCAAAGACAGACTTCCCGCGACCACCCACTGCTGAAGTCCCTAACATCCCATGGCCAGATGGGGCTTGCTAGCCAAGACCCTCGGGTGTCCAGGACCACAGATGCCAGCCTGCTAGTTCCCTCCCTGGGGCGAGACCTGTAGTGGAGATCACTGACCTTTCTGACAACACAGAGTGTAAGTCTGAGCCCGGGAAAATGGAACAGAGAGGCTCGCTGGCTGTGTGGCTGAGTGGGATGGGAATTTGGAGCCATGAGGGTGGCACAGCACCCCAGTGACAGGCATCTGATAGATGGTGGCTGGGACTGTTTGTTCAATTATGATTTCTACTCTTAATCCAGACTACCCTGGGACAAGACATAAGCTATGTGTGTGGCGAGGAGCACAGTAAAAGGGGTTCATTCCCTAAATGAGGCTGTTTGGGAGTTATTATTAATCTGATCTCGTCACACTGGGAAAGGGGCCATAGCAGGAAGACTTGGTGAAGCATGGAAAGAGGATGGTTCAAGGTCAAGGGGATGGGTGGGGCCGGGAGACTTGCTGGGGGGAGGAAGGATGAAAGCGGGACCTCAGACAGAGGGATGAGGGATAAGGGAAGAGACAGAGATATTTCTGAGGGAGAATCATCAGGACGAGGGAAGTGACTGGATGTGGGGGTGGGGTGGTCGGGGTGGGGTTTGAGCTCGGCTCCCCTTACCTATGCCATGCTTCCTGAACTCCTTCACTACTCCCAGGCTTAGAATGTACGCAACCTGTGTGTCAACAGAGAAGCTGGAGGCTAGAATATCTCCATCCTAAAGGAAAAGTCAGAAACAGTCAGGTCAACAGTGGAGGCACCTGGTCCCCCTGCAGAATATGTCCCACAGGCTGACTTCCCGACCATGACACCTGGGGGAATACCTGGCAGGGCTGGAGGGGACAGAAGAGAGGGCAATGGAGAACCACTCCCACCCCTCACAGAAATGAGAGGGTGCAGGTCCTTCTGTGACAAACTGCTAGTATGAGAGCACACACAAAAAGCCACCTCTCCTGGGGTGGGTGGGAGACCGGACGAGGAAGGACAGCAATGCCAAACGAGCGAGGTCATGGCGGTAAGAAGGAAATGTCTGTGCTGCATGGGTGCTCGGTGGGCCCTCACCACGTGTCCCTCAATAGCCAAGAGACAAGACAGGTGGACAAACACAAAGTGTGGAAAGTTCAACTAAAGGATCCTACACCGCCCCAGGTGGTCTCAGAGTAAAGTGGAAGGGAGGTGGGGGTGGCCACCCCAGTCTCTTGGTTCTGGAGGAGGAATTCTGGACTGAGAGAGTCATGGATCCAACCACCATGAGGTTCTCAAGTTCTTCTGCCTCATAAAGAACAAGAAGCATCTGCTGTGTACATGGTTTTTCTTCCCCACTGGAAAAGATGCTTGACGACTTGGCCTTTCTGGTCCCATCCACTGCTCACTGAGTGGCTCCCGGTTCCAGGTAGCCCCTGCTCCCCACTCCCTGCTCTCACCCAGCCCCTGTCCTCCTGGCCACAGTTAACCTGGACAGAGGCGGATGTGCCCAGCAGTCTCAGAGGCAAGGTGAGCACTTCACTCCCGGCTGACGTCTCTAAACAGGCTCTGCTTTAGCCCAGCATTGAATTCATTCAGCCTCTCATGTGGGCCTGACAAAGTGCCAGCTCTCTCTCCTGAGAGCCCAGGGAACAGAAGGAAAGGGTCCCCATCTCTGTCCTCAAGGAAAAACCAATACACTCAAAGGAGCGAAGAGATCTAATTACCAAGCCTGTGGGGCTGGGGGTCACCCGGGCACTCAGGAAGAGCTGTGGGGGAGGGGCCTGGGGAAACAAGTCACAGCAGGGTTGCAGTGGGTGGGGCAGTTTGTTCCTCAAGAGGAAAGATCAAAAAGATATTGACATTTGCTGAAAGCACCAACATTTCTTCCTTGTTTTTGCTACATCTTAGCAGTGACAAATGGAAGAAAAGAACTCAGGAGGAAGCCAGGAGAAAAAAAGTTACTCTTAAAAGTAACCAATTTTGCCGGTATCTAAGGATGGCAAAACAGGGTAAACTTGAGTGGCCTGGTCTTTCCAAGGGAGAGACATCCTTGTACTTTTGAAGAAACAGCCTCAGGCCTAAGAGAACCAGCTGCCACTGCTGGTGGATTTTCGCTCCTGGGAGTAATCAGCCCCGTGGTGGTCGGCCCGAGTACTCGGTTGCAAAGGTGATCCAAGTTACCAGGCAGAATATTGACCCACGTCAACCACGTGGCACAACGCGTTTGCAGCTGTGGCCTCACGTTTTACATTTAGGGCAGGATTTGCTAACCTGGTGCCCAAAGACCTTCACCAGTTCTTAGACAGATAGATCTTGAAGGGTCTATGAAGTTAGATGAAAAGAAATTATATCTTTGTTTTCACACCCTCTAACTTCAACAGGCCACAGCAGTATGAGCAGTTTCTGTGACGCTGCCACCAGTAGGAGTCACAGACACTTCCACAGTCCTGACAACATCACAGGTTCTCAGTGCATCACTTACGCTCCTCCCTACTTCAAAACGGGCAATGAGCGTGAGACCGTGGTCAAGCCTTGTTACTTAGCGCATGTCTGACTGTCATGAACGCACAGCGAGAAATGAACTAGGTACAAGCATCGCACACAGGGCCCCCAAGAGAAAGGGCCGCAGAGCAGGCAGTGGGGCCGTCACGAGCCCCCGGGGGCCTGTCCAGAGACGGCGACCACCAAGTCACCACTGCAAACACTCACCTCCTTGTGTATCTTGGTCCTGCTTTTTATTTCAGCTACGATCATTCCCACAATGGCGCCCCTGTAGGTGGCAGCAAGGGAAAAGAACTTCTTGTTGGAGGTGATATCACGATACCATGAGTCTGGGTACCTGAGGAGGAGACAAACTCGGGTGAACCTGCCAAGGGTCAAGTCCAACCACTGTTGTGCTGCAGACAGTGGGACCACAGGGGACTCCAGGCTGCTCTGTCCCTCACTCTGGGTTGACAAGGGGTCTGCCCATCACTTGGTCTCCACCAAATTGTCACATTCTCAGAGTATCAGCTTCTTAAAGTAATTATCTGTCCAGATGGGACTGGGAATTTCTGATGGGAAAAACGATCTTACAAGACACAGAGACAAGAGGGGGAAAATCCATGAGAGCAGTGCCTGGAGGGGCAGGTGGAGGAGTTAAGACAGATGACCCTCAGCAGCCCGCGGGCAGTTGGGTGACTTCCAAGAACTCTGTGAGACTTTTCCAAGACTAGGGGAAGTGGTGTGGGGAGAGCCAAGTGCACAGCTGAGTAGTATCTGAGTTTCGGGGACAGGCCCTCAAGGGCAAGGTGTGTCCAGTACCGCTAGGGCTGCTCACCAAGAGCCCTCCGAGGAGGGCAGAAAACAGACAGTGACTGCAGAGCCCCGGGACGCAGTGATTAACAGGCAGACACAGCCACAACCAAGGAGATTCGGACAGGAGGGTGTGTGGGTCTGTCTCCTAACGGACATACCAGGTTAGCCCAGGCTGCCTTCTTGAGACCAAGAGCTGGAGGAGGTCCTTGGGCCCTCAACAGAGAGGTGCTCTGCTCAGCTCTGCTCTGTAGAGGACACTGCCCATCCACTGGGAGATTCCATAGCACCTGAGCATCCCCAGGCCCCTCTCCTGGTCCTCTCCACACTCTTGCCTTCTGACCCCAGGAGAGCCAGGCTGGTGCAGCAGCCAGGACATGGAGCTGCCACCACATAGCCCGGAGGGACTGCAGGTCTCTCCACTGTGTCTGGAACCTGAGGCCTCAGGCCCAGGAAGTGGCAAGGAGAGGAAGGCAGGCAGAGCACCATGGGGCCACAGAGGCCCTGCCCACTGTGGCTCTGCCTGCTCCAGGCCACGCTCAGCAGGACCCAATCCATGGACTTACTGGCTTACTCTCCAGTGGTGGGACTGCTGGCTTGAGAAGAGTTTACTTTCTAGCCTACGAAGCCACTGCCAGCCTACACCCCTAGACAGCTGTGAGTTCACACTCCCATCAGGGACGCAAGGGATGCCCCCCACCCCTTCCTGCCGACGGTGGGTTAAACAAGTCTAAGGCTAAGGCTCATGAAATGGGATGTTAGGCAGGATCTTATTTATTTTTAATGTTTAAAAGTTTGCACTATTTTTCTCACTACAAAAGCTCTATGTGCGTATTACAGAAAGATGTGGGAAATACAGACAAGCAGAAACGGACAAACCTGTAGGTGCTAATCATCCACTCACCCAAACTACCAGAAACATTTGCTACATGGTGCACCTCCTCCCAAGCTTTTATCGCGTACATGTTTTTAAATAAAAGTGGGATTGTGATACACTCTGGTTTCTAGTCTACTTTTTTCACTTAGTATCTCATTTAAAAAAACTTTGTCAACAAATATACCCCTGTGACAGATTTTTTTTTTCCTGGCTGAATGATACTGTCTTTTTGCACACACATACCCTGATATATGTAACCAATTCATGCGAAGATACTTAAGTTGCTTCTCAATCTTCTGAACATTATAAGTAGCACTGCATTGAATATCTTCTTAACTAAAGTCTCAGCAAAGCCCTTTAGGGGAGCTCTTCACATAAGGAACACGGTGACGTGCAAAGAGCCCGATCGCAGTTAGGGAGCAGGGCCTGGAGTCCCCGGATGGGTGAGGTCACCCTGGGCCTTCACAGCAAGTCTTCCAGCGTATCAGCACTGGGGGATCTGTGTACATATGCCCCAGCCATGCCCCCGCCCCACCATCCGCAGCTGGGGACAGCAGGCCGCTCAACTTACTCGATGGGGAACCAGTCGCCACACAGATGCTTCACAGTGTCTATGTCATCGTGGCAGAGGAGGCGCAGGCTGACCTCGCTGAGGGCACTGGATGGCACCACCTCTGTCATTCACACCTGCAGGGAGAGGGGCATCAGGAGGGCGGCCGCACCCCCTCACCAGTCCACCCACCCCATTCCTTTCTCCTCTTCATACCAACCTGTGCAGCAGGCGAGATGGGAAAGCACACACTGTACCCAAGGATTAAAATGTCCTCAGTAACCATGCAGTGTTTCCCCCCACCACGGGTCACAGTCACCTCTACTTTGCAGGTGAGGAAATTCAGGCCCAGGAAAGCCTGGCAGGATGGGGATCCAGGGTCCCCTCGCTGCTCACATGGGATGCTCCAGTGCCCCACAGAGGGCAGTCTGCCTCTGGCCTGTGTTCTCTTTCCTCCTTGCCCCTGAGCTGCCCACTGAGCACCTACACCAGCCCTGCTTCTCCCTGGCCAGGCTCCCAGCTCTCTCACACCTGCTCTCTGTCCATGGGGAAAGCACATGACCTGCCAGCCCGATTTCTCCCAACCATGGCCAGTGGTGACTGCCATGGAAATTCAGGGCTCAGCCCCATTTGGCGCAGCCTAGTGGGGAAGCGGGGGGCCCGTGACCTGCTGGATTTCCAGGGGAAATGGCACTTGTTGGGTGGGCTATTTCTCCTCCCCTATGCAGCAAATGAAGAGCTGGGCACAGAAAAAGAGACCGAGAGAGCAAAAATTCAAGTCAGGGGTCATCAGCTGCATGACTCTTAAATCAGGAAACTATATTCAATCCAGGTTGCTGACAGAGCAGCCTCTTGTTGCAGTTAAAGGAAGGCCACGTGCTAGGCCCTAACAAAGCACCCGCACCCCCAAGACTTAGTGATCGAACGCCAAGGAGAAGTCGAACCTCTTCAACCTTGAGATCCCTTAGTCACACCTCTCCCAGGGGTGGAGCCCAGCCTCTCCTAGTGCCCCCCGTGTGAAATACACAGAGCCCTCAGGGTTCCCGCCTAAAATTCTGGGGCTGAAGCTTCACAGGTAACACCCAGCACAAGATCAACCACACCACAACTGACAAACACGGAATGGGTGGCATTCTACAAGACAACTAACTAGCCTGGTCTCTTCAAAAAGTCTGTATCATTTTAAAAAAAATATACTAAAAGAAACAAGGAGACCTACAACCAAATGTGACATGTAAACTCTTACTGGAAAAAAAAAAGCCAAACAACATTTTGTAGAAATTGAAATACGGGCTGGACAGCAGATGGTGTTATGAAATTGTTCTTAACTGCCTTCGATGTGGAGGGTATAGTGGTTACGTAGACAGTCTTAGGAGATGCATGCTTAAATACTTTGGAGTGACGCATCAGGAGGCCTAACACTAACTTTAAATGGTTCAGAAATGTTTTCAACTACTTAGGAAGCAAATGTGACAAAATGCTATTATTACCTGTTGGATCCAAGTGGCAGGTTGATATAAAACAGGAACTTACTGTCCATGCATTCAATCTTTCTATATATCTGAAATTTTTAACAAACATTGGGGTTGGGGTGGTGGGAGCCTGAACTTACCTAAACTGACCCTAGAAGTCATAGTTCTGGGAGTGGGCACCGTGAGGGTCCAGGCGATGCCCAGAGGTCAAAGGGGGCCCAAGGTCAGTGACCTCCTGCTGTCCTGACCCTGCTCCTGCCTGCTTCCCAGGAGACACAGGCATTTCCCTGAGGGTCCCTGGGAAGGCTATGTCCTAACCTGTCACCCGCCAGGGGCTGAAATCTACCCTGAAGCTTGACCACAGGGCCAGTGGGACAGCTGTCAGTCTCTGAGCCCTAGACAGACCCTGGGATGCTCTGCCTCGGAAGAAGGGCTCCTTCAAGGGTTCGCCCAGGGTAGGCTGACAGGTCTGCCACTGTCCCCCATCCCTCCATGGCACCAACCAACCTGAGGGTGACCACCTGGGGTGGGGGTTTTAGAGGCCAGGTCCACAGGCTGGAAACATCATGGTGACCTTGAAGCAGACACGGAGTGGGCGGGGAGGCAGACGAGGTGGGAAGAGGTACTGCAGGAGCTCCGTGGCCACATCAGACCCTAAGGGGTGGGGACCACGCCGCCTCAACACAACTCTCCGCACAGCACGGTCTGAGAGCAGACATGAGAGAGGGACCCCTCGCTTCCTCCTCCTGGTTTCCAGTCAGCGCCTGGGCACAGCCCACGTGCTCCTGTGAGGCGGGGCCCTCATGTGACCGCCCCGGACTGCTTGCCAGGGAAGGGGCCGTCTTGCCCCACGGAACGCAACCGCACAGCTCCAAGAGCAGGACCAAGCCCAGCGCCGCCGGGGCAAAGCGCCGCTTCCCCGGAGGTTTCTGCACACGCCCCGCTGCGCAGGCGACCCCCCACCCCCACGACGGCAGATTCCACACACACACACACAAAACCCTCTAAAGGCACCAACGGAAGGTGTTGTTAATCTTGTTACGCACGAGAATAGCACTGGGATTGCACAGAAAATGTCCCTGAAGAGATGCACACTGGGGGCAAAATGACAGAAAGTTCTGGAACTGAACTTAGTGGGAGCGAAAATGGTGAAATGTTAATAACTGTTGGACTCGACAATGGGCATGCCACGTGGATGTTTGAAAATGTTCCTAATTAAAATTAACCACCAACCTATCAAATTTCTCCACAGAGGCTGAGCTTCTGTGTGGACACTTCTCCGCGTGGTGCTAATGCCCCTGACATTCCGCACGGCGGGCTCGGGGCGGCGCCTTGGTCTCCGCACACCTGCTCTGGGGCCAGCACGGCCCCAGGGTCAGGTGCCTGGTTCAGAGCGTCATGGGTGCAGGGAATACCACTTGGGATCCAAATTAACCAACCTCCAAACTCCATGGAGGTTTCAAGCAGCGACAGTGACACCCAAGTGCAAAGGACACTGTTTTAGAAACTGGGACTGAAGCTGCCCAAAGTGCGAAGTCTTGACCACCAGGCCAGTTTGGGGCAGCGCCCCTCCCCTTTCCCTCAGGGCTGAGAACTGGGAAATGTAGGAACCCCTGTCAAAGCCTTTGGGACAGTCAATAACCCTACACCATATGAGAAGACTCCTGAGACAAGGGCCCTCCTCTCCCAGTGGCAACTGCCTTCAGGGAAAATTCTGGTAGACAAGCCCAAATACATCACCTGCCCAACCCAGTGGCCAATCAGGATGACATATAAAAACGCTGCTCAATGCCCCAGTGAGGACACAACCTCTGCTCTAAATTGAGCAAAGGAGTGCAAGTGGGAGCCCACTGTGGGCTCCCCCAAAACACACCTAAAGTGGAAGCAACTCAATAAAATGCATCTATCCGCAGAGTGGATATTTAGCACTGATACCTGCTACAATGTGGATGAACGCTGCCAACAGGATGCTGAGTGAGAAGCCAGAACAAAAGGCCATGCAATGTCCAGAACAGGCAAATCCATAGGACAGAAGGCAGATTAGTGGTTGCCTACGGTTGGGAGGGGGGTTGGGAGGCTCGGAGGATGATGGCTAAGGGTGTGGGGGCTTCTTTTGGGAGAGGTGAAGATGCTCTGACACTGAACGTAGTGACATGCACAGTTCTGTGAATACACTGAATGGTACACTTCGTGTGAACTGTATGGTATGTCGACTGCACCTCAACAAAGCTGTCACGAAGAAAACAAAAACTGAGGGCACGGGCTAACAGCTCAGTGGTAGAGCACATGCCTAGCATGCAGGAGGTCCTGGGTTCAATCCCCAGCATCTCCGTTAAAAAAAAAATTAGTAAAGAAGAAAACAAAAACCAGCCCCAATCTTGAGAGAGAGTGATTCTCTAGTGAACACATGGATAAAAAAAGATTCTTTTTGAAGGAAGTCACAGTAGATTCCTGAAAGAATTAGCTTTCCAGCCCACAAGTCAAACTGCAGGGGCTCACACTGTTGCCCTGTAGATGCGCTCCTGCAATGGGACTGGCCCACATCCCACCTCCCTGGGCCCCACCTCTGAGCCAAGCCCACTAGGGTCGGGGAGGGGGTGCTCTGCGGAAGATGAGGCTGAAGGTAGGGAGGCTGGTGGGAGTCACAGACTCACAGAGATGAGGAAGAGCTGTCAGCCCACCTGGCTC